TTGGATCGTGACAATGCCTGTACCGTATGCAGATATGCTACTAATGATGGGAACAAATGGGGTCAATCCCTATAATATCACGTGCATGCCTATGAAGATGGCCGCCGAGAACATCTCGGCCTTGCAGTTGAAGAAGGGGGTCAAAAGACATGAACCTACGTTCCTGGCTACCCTCTACATTGAAGATATAGAACGCTCTTCCGGGTCCCATTCTTGCACTTGTGAAGGAGCTGCTACTGGAATTTGAAGACGTCATGCCACAACACATGCCAAAGCGACTCCCGCCTAGGTGCACTGTGGATCATGAGATTGAGTTGGTGTTGGGTGCGAAGCCACCTGCCCGGGCTCCGTACAGAATGTCACAACCCGAACTCACCGAGCTTCGGAGGCAGTTGACAAAAATGCTAGACACATGGATCATCATGCCCTCCAATTCCCCATACGGGTCTCTTGTGCTATTCCAAAAGAAACATGTTGATAGCTTATGACTTTGTGTGGATTATCAGGCTCTAAACAAAATCACCGTGAAGAACAAGTACCCTATTCCGCTAATGGCAGACTTGTTCGATAGACTGGGTGGTGCGACTGTGTTCACCAAAATAGATCTGAGGACAGGTTATTGGCAAGTTCAGATTGCAGAGAGTGATGAACACAAGATGACCTGCGTGACAAGATATAGGTCATACGACTTCCTCGTTATGCCATTCGGCTTGACTAACGTGCCAGCCATATTTTTCACCCTGAGGAACCAAGTCTTCTGAGAATACATTGACGAATTCGTGGTGGTCTACTTGGACTACATTGTGGTATATAGCCAGACACTGGAAGAATACCTAGAGCACTTGCAGAAGGCCCTAGCCCGATTGCGGGAGCACGGATTATATGCAAAGCTATCCAAGTGCTTCTTTGCTCAAAACAAATTGACTTCCTTGGACATATAATCGAGGAAAGGCGGATCAAGATGGACCAACGGAAGATTCAGGCTATCACATATTGGTCGTCGCCTAAGGATATCCACGCCTTGAGGGCGTTCCTTGGCCTATGCAACTTTTATCGGCGAATTGTAAAAAATTACTCCCTCATCGCAGTGCCACTGACAGAACTTCTCAAGAAGGTCATGCCTTGGGATTGGGGACCCAGGCGAGCGGAGGCCTTCAACGCATTGAAAATGGCTATGTCTAGTAGCCCCGTCTTGGCCCTCCCTGATTTGTCCAAGCCATTCGAGGTACAAACGGATGCCTCTGACTATGCCCTTGGTGGAGTCTAGCTACAAGAAGGGCATCTCGTAGCGTACGAGAGTTGGAAGCTGAAGGATGCAGAGCGGCACTATGCCACCCACGAAAAAGAATTATTGGTTGTCATTCATTGCTTACGCCTTTTGAGGCACTATCTGCTGGGAACCTCATTCGTGGTCAAGACAGACAACACAGTTGTTAACCATTTCACGACCCAGCCGATGCTGAATGGTTGAAAAGTCAGGTGGCAGGAACTCCTAGCGAAATTTCACTTCAACCTGGAATACCGAAGTAGGAAGACTAATCATGTTGCTGATGCGCTCAGTCGGAGAGCTGATCTAGCATCGGTGTGCCTACTCGCCACCCTAAGGGGAAGCGAAGTAGCCACCACCATAAAAGACCAGATACAGGATCTACTCATCAAGGATCTTACTGCACAGTATTTGGTTGATTTAGTAGGACATGGCAAGACTCGCCCCAGTTCTACACAGAAGATGGTTTCCTGAAAGTGAAAGGGAACCAACTTTATGTTCCTAAAGGAGGAGATCTGCGAAGGAATCTTCTGGAGGAATACCATGATATTTTGTGGGCTGGTCATCCCGGTGAAGAACGCACCATGGCATTACTTCGTCGTGCATATTATTGGCCTCAAATGGCCGATGACACAAGAGGGACTCTTGGAACCACTAGCTATCCCAAAGAGACCTTAGGAAAGCGTTTTCCTGGATTTCATCACCGGATTGCCCAATGTCGGAGATCTCACAACTATATAGGTTGTGGGGGATCGGTTTTTCAAGTATGCTACCTTTATAGCAGCCCCACAATATATATCAGCAGAAGATACAACTCGACTCTTCTTCTCTCATGTCGTCAAATATTGGGGACTCCCTAAAGACATCGTTAGTGATTGCGACTCACGCTTCACTAGCAACTTTTGGACCCAACTCTTTAAGTGCCTCGGGTCAAAATTGAGTCACAGCTCAAGTTTTCATCTGCAATCTGATGGCCAGACGGAGCGGTTCAATGGCATACTAGAGGAATATCTCCGCCACTTCGTAACCGGATCGCAGAAGAACTGGGTGAAGCTTCTGGATGCTGCTCAACTGTGTTTCAATTCACAAAAGAGCTCTAGTACTAACAAAAACGCTTTTGAAATTGTTACCGGACAGCAACCGCTACTCCCACATACCGTGAATGCACTAAACATGTCAAAATCTCCTCAAGCTGCTAACTTCTCAAAAGAATGGAAGCAAAATTTGGAGATAGTGCGGAGCTATCTTGTCAAAGCCCAAAAGCGGATGAAGAGGCATGCTGATCAAAATCATCGTTTTGTTGAATACCAAGTATGGGATAAAGTGATGGTCAAAATCCTAAAGCGGTACTTGTTTGTAGGGGTCCATGACCGACGCCTATTGCAACGTCTTCCATGTCAGTCTCCTGAAACCTTTTCGGGAAGATATGGAGGATCTTTCATAGAGCCAACTCACAATACCCAGTATTCGAGGCCCCAATTCAACCGGGAAAAGGCGTGATGAAGCTATTCTTGATGATCGAGTGATTCACGCCTCAAGGAAAGATCACCAAGAGTTCTTGGTGAAATAGAAGGGATGTGATGCAGAGGAGAATACTTGGGTGAGGGGAACAAACCTCAAAGCCTACAAGAGCCTAATTGATCATTATCTTTCAAGTAAGGCGCGGAGGACGACACCAACTCAGGTGGGGGAGAATGTCATGGGCGGCTTTCCAGCCATGCCCCGTGACTCCTTGGACGCGCCTGTGGTGTCCTAGCAAGCCTCCCAATGCCTAGCGCCACAGTCGGTCGTGGTCTCGGCAGCTCCAAGTGACAAGAGCTCATGTGCCTCTGTCGCCCCACCGATAGCCATCGCCAGCGCCCAGCCATATGCAGATGGCAACAACGCCGCTCGTGCAGACAATGCCACACGTGTAGACAACGCCTCGCGTGCAGACCATGCTTCTAAAGACAAGGTTACTGCCAACGGACTTGTTTCTACCTTGTATAAGACTAAGTCCTTTTCATTGTAAATATAGAGTAGTTTTGTAGGTCAAGTCATTTACTTTCAGTGTGCTTCTACAACTTTTATAGGTCAACTCATGTAACTTTGATTTATTTTCTTTAAGCATTATTAGGGGGGATCAAGCAATCAAACTTTCTAGCAAGCAAACAATTCTCTATACTGGTGTCTCTCCCCCTCGACACCGTGTTGCTTTTCTGTAATAGCTTTCATTAATGCAATCAAGTTTTCTTTCATTCTCAATTCTCTTTTCTGCTCTCTCAATTGCTCTTGACATTGGTTTTCCCGTACGGAACTGACAATCTCGTCTAGCGTACAGAGGGGACCTCGGCTGGCAGATAGTAACTGCACTGACATCAGTTGCTTAGCCTTACGTCGCCCTTCCGAGGAATATCAGGAAGGCGTTGCGTAGACTTCAACAAAACTATCTAGACAATTTTACAGTTTAAAAGACGACGATAAAGGGAATATAAAAGATAGCTAGCATAGAGATTTATCATACTATTCAAATATAGCGTAAGAAAAATTGGAATATATTAACTAACATTGGACTCAAGAATAGAGTATATTAGAAGATTAAGTATAAAATAAGAAAAATCTAAACCATACAAGAGGAAAGATATTTAATACAGTATGGTTTACTACTCAATATTGCTGGAATACTTGTGGCTTGCTATTCAAGATGATAACTAAAACTAAATTAGTTTTAACAGGAGTAGCATAATATGTTTGAGAGTTAAGACTGTGGGCTTTAATTACTTGTTGCCTAGTAAACGTTTCCATAATCACAAGGCCCAAGGAATGTTTTGCTATTTTTAAACTTAACATATAAATATATTCTTCTTATATAAAATTATTCGGGACGGTTCAGTATTTTTTCAGTTATTTTGTAAAATTAAAAATATATCCTAACTATCGGTACAATTATAATTTTATATGAAAACCTACAGTTTTATTAAAAGAAACATAATAATCGGTTCGATTCGGTCGATTTAGTCGATTTTTAAAAATATATTGAAACGGCAGTACCTATTCTCTTAAACTTACCCAGACACCCACTTATTATCGAGAGAGAACTTCAAATAATAGTAAGAAAATGTTTCGTGAATCATTTACTTCACATGAGGTACATATCACATTATGTTTCCAAGATGTTTTTGTTTTTCTTTCGATGTTGGATTGTTGATGTTGCAATTGATGCGCATATCATGGTATTATATAAAGTCATTTATTTTTCATAGTTAAGCTAGAGTTTCTATATTTACGCTAATATTTTGACAATTATATTTATTTAATTAGAGTTTTATAAGTTTAACGTATTTTAGCAATTTTTTAATGTTTCTACTATTTGTAGATTTATAAATTAGTACAATTTAAAAATTTCTGGGGCTTGCACCCCATGTCTGGAGCTTAACTTCGCTTTGTGCCCCGTCCTTTAATACACTTCGTCAGACCTTAAAACTTAAACTTTTGCCATTTTTGTGCTTTTCAATTTTTATTTAAATCTTTTGGAAGCCGTGAAAAGAGATAATTTTAGAATAGATCGGTTATGAACCTTTCTCGGGAAAAATTTCTCAAGAGGCAATGTGCCTCTTTTCAACTAAGTTTGAATAGACGTCAGGAGGTGTACTTATGGACTAACGAATGACTTCAGTCTATTAAAACACGTAGTATTAGACAAAGAAAAGAAGACGACAGAATTAAGAAAAGTAGAATGCAAAGAATCTCGATATAATGAGCAGAATTGATGGAGATCTCAAGGATCTTACTTAAATCAAACAATAAATAATACAAATTATTAAAACAAAAGAACATTGAACACATAATAAGCAAACCCGATCATTGCGGGAAGCATACATCAAATTTTGGCTGAGGAAATGGAGTTGCTAAAAATAAGACAAAACGGAATAAAAAGTCATGGAAATGGCGAAAATGATTGAATTGTTAAAATTAGTAGTAGGTTGGCGGAGGAGATACTGATGGGGGTGGAGGTGAAGCATAGGTGGCAGATTGCTCGTACTTCTCAGGTGGTGGAGGTGAAGCATAGGTAGCGGAATCCTTGTAATTCTTAGGTGGTGGAGGTGAAGCATAGGTAGCGGAATCCTTGTAATTCTTAGGTGGTGGAGGTGAGGCATAGCTAGGAGTTTGCTTGTAATAGTTTGCAGGTGGTGGAGGTGAGTAATAAGATGGTGATTTTTCATAGGTTTTTGGTAGAGATGGCAAGTTGTAAGTTATAGGCGATTGCTCGTAGTATTTTGGTGGAGGTGGAGGTGATTTATAGGAAGGTGTAGATTCTTTGTAGTATGGTGGAGGTGGAGATTTGTAAGAAGATGGTGATTGCTCATAGTATTTTGGTGGGGATGGAGGTGACTTGTAATAAGGTAACTGCTCATAGTATTTTGGAGGAGATGGAGGTGACTTGTAATACGAAGGTGATTTCTCATAATAAGTTGGTGGTGGTGGAGACTTGTAGTAAACTGGGGACTTGTAATATTTTGGTGGTGGCGGTGACTTATAGTATTTAGAGGGAGTAGGCGATTTGTAATATTTTGCCGGGGATGGTGACTTGTAGTACTTTGCAGGCGATGGTGACTTGTAGTAGTTTTTTGAAGGAGCTGGTGACTTGTAGTAGTTCTTTGAAGGAGCTGGCGACTTGTAGTAGTTCTTTGAATGAGCTGGCGAGTTGTAGTATTTTACGGGAGCTGGCGACTTGTAGTATTTTGCGGGAGCTGGCGATTTGTAGTATTTTGCGGGAGCTGGTGCCTTGTAATATTTTGTGGGAGCTGGTGATTTGTAATATTTTGCGAGAGCTGGCGCCTTATAGTATTTTGCGGGAGCTGGCGCTTTGTAGTATTTTGCGGGTGATGGTGACTTGTAGTAGTTCTTTGAAGGAGCTGGTGACTTATAGTATTTTGCGGGAGCTGGCGACTTGTAGTATTTTACGGGAGCTGGCGACTTGTAGTATTTTGCAGGAGCTGGTGCCTTGTAGTATTTTACTGGAGCTGGAGATTTGTAGTATTTTGCGGGAGCTGGTGACTTGTAATAATGTTTTGCAATAGTAGGTGACTTATAGTAAGGAGTAGGTACTAGGTACTTGGGCGGTGATGATGATTTGTAATACTTCTTAGAGTTGTAAGAAGGCAAGGGAGAAGCATACCCATAAGAGTAATCAGCAACAACAGTGCTGGCTATAAAGCAAATTGCCAAAGCAGTTACAAGTAAAGGCCATTGCCCCAGCTTCCCTATGCTTGTCATTTTGCTTATGCAGCCAACAATACTTGGAGAAAGAATGAAAAGAACTTAAACTTGACTTGCATATTGAGTAGGGAGTTCTGGCTTTTATATAGGAACATAATATTATAATTTTAGGTATGTGTTATTGGCGCCCACTAAGATTATAGCTAAGTCAAAATATAGGCTCGATCTTTTCTATAATTAGTGGCAGGCATTTTCTCCAAGACTTGTCTTGCATAGTTGAGTAGGGAACTCTGGTTTTTATATAGCAGTTATGTAATGGTTTCATGGTTAGCAACCAAGATGATATAGAAAAGTCCAAATATTAAAAATGGAGAAAACATTAAGGATACCACGACTTGCATCCCATTAGCGAATAATTAAGTTGACTTGTACAGATAATTACGGTATATTGAATATGAAGTTCAAAAACAATTAGGGAAACCAGCGAATAAACACAACAAATTATACCTTAAGGGGTCGTTTGGTTCATTTATGAAATATCCCGTGGAATTATAATTCTGTGATATCCCATGGTATTATCTATCCTGCCTCTGATATGGGATAGTGAATACCATTATTTTGATTTAAATTGTATTAGTTAATACCCACAATCAAATATGGGATAACTCTAATCCCAAATTTTAAACGGAGATTAATATCTTTATCCCGATAACCTAACGACCCTTCAATCTATCGGTATGAGAATCCGTACAACCTGTGATAGGACGAGGAGCTCGTAAACGGTTTGATCCATATGTGGGGGGACTCTTGTCTCGTAAAAACTGTGCTTCAAGCGCTCGTATATACCCTTAAAATGCATCCAACGCCAAACGCACGAGGCTCGTCCAAATGATTTTGTTCAATCGAGTGTAATTAGCTATGTAAATCAACAAAAATCCTTAACTAACCCTTAATTCTACAAAAGCCATCTATATCAATCATAAATCAGAAGTGAGAACATCGCAAGCGTAGTCTTTAGAACATTAGATGATCTCTTATTTTCTGTTAAAGTATTAGTGAGCAGAGTTATACAGCACATGTGCTGATGGGAGAAAATAAGAGCGCGTAAACTTATCCACACCCACTTATTATTCAGAGAGAGAACTTCAAATAACAGTAAGAAAGTGTTTCGTGATTCATTTACTTCACATGAGTTACAGATCACATTTTGTTTCCGAGATGTTTTTTCTCTTTCGATGTTTGATTGTTGATGTTGTAATTGATGTATTACATAAAGTTATTTTATTTTTCATAGTTATGCTAGAGTTTCTATATTTATGCTAATTTTTTGACAATTTATTTTATTTTAGAGTTTTATGATCTTAACGTATTTTTAACATTTTTTTATTTTTTCTACTATTTGTAGACTTATAAATTACAGCAAAAATTTAAAGATTCATGGGACTTACACTTCGCCTTGGGCCCCAATACAATACAACAATAACAATCCAGTATAATTCCACTAGTGGGGTATGGGGAGGGTAGTGTGTACACTAAGAATGGCAAGTGGGTCAGTCTAGGATCGGGATAGGCCCGGGGACCGCGGGCCAAACGGGCCAGGACCGGTATTAGTGGGCATGGGCCGATTCTATGCTTTGGGACCGGGACCGGTCCCTTGGCGGGCCAAACGGTCCCAACGGTAATATTTTTTTTAAAATAATATTTGAAAAATTTTAAAAACAACTGTTGGGCTGTCAAAAATAGCCGTTGGCTATTTATAAAATAGTCATTTAATCCC